AGCAAGGTGGGTAAAAGAGGGAACTCACTGAAATTCAATTTTAGACAATAATGGTCTCTTAGAAACATAGAAATGAACATGCATTGAACAAAGAACAAGAAAGAGTACATTGGAGCCAACTTGGTTGCAGCAGCAGCACCAGCAGCACCAGCAGCACTGATTGGCCACAGAGTGGAGGGGTAATATATATAGAGAGAGACACAACCTATTGGCATGGGAGAACTTATGGGTCATAATTTAGCTATCCAGAGGCTGCACAACAGGTTCTTGTTTGAAATGTGCTTGTTGTGAAATCTGTTTCTCTCAACTGACAAGGGAAGACCTGACATGGAAGTCATCTTGAGGAGGCCACCTTGCAGTTTGCTACTGCAGAAGCCTGTAAGATCAAACAAGAACTGCCATAATGTCCCATCATGTGGCCCAAAGTGTACCTAGTAGAACACAAATGCAAGAGTTATGAAGAATATTGTACCCATGGTGAGTCAAGTAAGAAATACAGAGGGGAGTGCAACTCACTAACCCTTTGAGTCTGGTGGCTCACATAACCAGCTGAAGAGGTCATGAAACTGAACAAGTGGGTGTGAATACACTTAGGGACTAAGTGTGGGAAGGCCATGTTTGTGGGCAGCAGAGTGTGTAAGACTTATAGAGACGTGAAACACGTGGAGAGGACTGGCTTTCCTGTCCTACAAATAGAATTCTAGGGAGATTCCTGAGATCCTGGCAGCGATTGCCATCAGCCTGGCACTAGGAATGTGTGTTCTCCAGGGAAGATAATACTCAACAAAGTCCTTAAGCTCTGATTAGACCTAAGCCCTAGCCACCAGAACATCACTACTAGGACTGTGCAGAAGCTCCACACTCGGAGTGCATCAATGTTATCTGTCTGCACAAAACTGCAGTTGACAGTACTTCCCATTCCTTCCTATCTTATAATGGTAAGCAGGGAAGCTGAAAGCTATTTCAAACAACTTCAGTGTTAGGCCAATCCAGTGGGCAGTTTAGTGAACAACACAAAAAGAGGAAGTAGTTAACTCCCAACCAAGGTTGTGTCTCTTACTCTCAATACATAGCCCAAGAAGAAACAGAATGACAGTTGAGGATAGGAACCGACATCCACCTTTATCAACACTTTGAAACACCTAAGTGGAGATAATTCTTTAAGTGTGCATGTGTGTATGTATTCTTGCTGGAGTGATTCGTTGGTAGACATACATACATACATACATACATTTGTTTTTTTTTTAATCTCAGTTTTAGCATTTTTTAAACGTTTATTTTTCCTTGAATTGACCCTTAAGGGTCTGTGTTTTTGTCTTGTTAATTTTGGTTTTGTTTTGTTTCTTTTTTTTTTAGAAATTCATACAAACCATGCTTTATTGTGCAATAAATAATATTATTTCATAATTTTACACTTAAATAATAGGAGACACATGACAAACATAGCATGTGAACTCATCACAAGGGTTCCAAGAGGGTGGCCAAAGTGCGATAACCATAAGTGCAAGATTTCTTCACTATTTCTGGTATTGCTTAAATGACCGTAACCCATACACACTCTTTTATGATTAATACTATGACAGCAAAATGTAAGAGCTGACAAAGAGTTCTCTCGCCTTGGCCTGCTTTTTCAGAAAACATTCCAGAAGTCAACTGGGAATTCAGTAAGAGCACCTCCACTCCTCCACTGACGCTGCATGAATGGTGCCCCCTAGTGGTCTGAGGGATGTAGCCTGTAGAGTGGGTGTTGGCAGGACGTGTGGGAGAAAAGAAACCTTGGAAGTCTTCAAGATGTTTTATATCCTAAATCCCAAAATTGTGAAAATGTTTACAAAGTGGGAGGTTCTGTGATAGCGCCATCTTTGAAGTTTTGTCTCCAAGCCTCAGATCAACAATATCCAAAGGCTCCCCTGGCCACCCTCAGATATCACTGACCTTCATGCCAAGGTGACTGTCAGAACACTATTGATTCTCAAACAGGGGCTCTCACCTCAGTAAAAGAGCCTTCAGGGGTCCTTAGGATTGCAGTAGCTGAAGATGTGGCCTGAGTGAAAGTTCTGTTTTCAGTGGCAAACTCAGGTAGGCCATTTTAGGTGGATGGAGTGTTGATCTAAATTATGGTCAGAGAAAGATTCTGCCAAGAATGTGAATTGGAAATGGAATGACACA